CACTGTCATGTTACAATTATCAAAAATATAGTATTTTGCCCTTTACTATTTTTTTTTTGTTTTCCATTTTCAAGAAAAATATTGGACAAACACGAACACCTTGTACATATAAAATATTTTAGAGTGCAAAATTTCAAAATAATCTAACAATAAAGTTCCTATTTATGTTTTATGCTTCAAATACGTTTATTGCCATTCACTAGTACGCAGAAAATATGGAATTACAATTTATGACACGATAATGACAATATATATAGTTATAATAATTGTTCTAAAAAATATGTGTATGATCCATTTTGTATATCTTATAATTATTAATTACTAGTTCTGGTAACTGATTATCGTTGTGCTTCATTATTCTCAAAATTTCTTGATTGTAGTTTAATTGTTTCATTAATTGATTGCAGCTTACTATCTTGTCTAGTTAGCATTGCAGTAAATATTTATATTTTAATTTTATCTACGTACATTTTCACATTCGTTTCTGCCAATATAATTATTAGACTGAGGATCTTTATGTAATTTCATATTTTTGAAGTATGAGTATAATCTAAAAAATGAAATTTCAATAGAGAATTATTTTATACATTAAATAGTATAGAAACTGTATTTTAGAGTTTATTCTTTTATATTATCCGCATTCTCTGCAACATTTCATTCTACAATTTCTTAGAAATAATATTTAATAATATTTAATAAAATTTCTTAGAAACGCAAGATAATCTGTAATTTAATAATTATTATAATTCTGCGCGAATGTAATTGCAATAGCTTGCGAGGCTATTTAAACATTAATAGAAACCTTTTATGAATATAAATATTTCATGAATATATATTCTGCGAATCATTTTGAAATTTTATTAGCATTGTAATGCTAATGAACTATCATAATTATGTTCATACAATTTGATATGAAAATGTATGAGCGTACAAGTTATTCAAGGCTTATAACTATATATTAATATACTGAATAATAGTTTAAAAATTTTTTTTGATTGACTTTTAAAATATATACTTGTATAAATATCTTGTAATCATGATAATCATATCTCATTATTAGTTTCAAAATGTTTGATATAATACATATATAAAAGATTTCTACCATGCGTAACATCTGAAAAGCGAATTGAAGATAACGAGCGCCTTATCGGAGCAATTAATCGTCGGTAAGTATATAAAATTGTTCGAAGCATTGAAGGTTTTTCGATTAATCGCGCTAAACTAATCGTTAATGCCTTTAATGAGCAAAGGTAGTGAAGTATTCGATCCTAAATCACCGATCAGCTGATTTGCAATCGGTCCCCATCATAATAATTTTTCTCGATGCAAAAAATAACGTTATGCGTTACGCGGTAATTGCGCAATCAGACGGAGAAATTGGACGAAAACTAACTCGAATTTTGCATTGGACGATTACTTTAAAAGCTACACAGAATATACAGAGTGAGAGAATCTGCACAATAAAATAAATAAAAAATAGTGTATGAATCTACGTATATCCTACATATCTTCAATTTTCAAGTTGTAGATAACTGAAGAAAGTATTCAATGTCACACAATCAATACATGCTATTTATCGATATGAGCTAACAAAACAAAGTAATCAAATAAATTTTTATTTTTAGTCCAATTTAAAATTTATTGTGTCTTCAATTGAGGTGAATAATGTTCACAAGACAGCTACGGAATGGATTTGAGATTATTCGAGAAATATTTGATATTTTCGAGGGGATGCAGAATTTAATACTAAGGGTTGTAATAATATTTTATGACGAATAACACGAACGCAGTAAACATTTTCTTCAATTATCTACGACTTGAAAAGTAAGATATGTAGGTCATAGAACATTTAGCTATCTTAATGTGTAGATCCGTCATTTAAAATATGGATATACATTTAAGAATCACCCTATATACATAAATTGAATAAGCAGTGAAAATAGAGATATTCGTACTTGTATTAGCATTAGGTTCTGGTTGCTGTAAAGTTGGCTATACCAATTAACCGTATCTGTTTGCCCGAATACAAATACGAAAGTGCTGATTTGCACTTTCGATTCTATCAAGTTGGCGGATTTTTGTAAATTTTTCTTATTCATTCCTTTGCTAATTTTCAATTCCTGTTATCGTATTCGCCATTTCGAAGAACTAGAAAATTTCATTTACAGAATCACTTCTGAAATTGAAATTTATATTTCATTTCATAAAATTTGACTCGGAGGGATACTTTTGCTTTTGGACACAAACTTTTATTCCCGAGCATCTTCGCTCATAAAAGTTTCATTGATTTTCCTGACAAATATTAGCGATATTCGCTATTAGTAGAAGACCGACGAAGGAAGTTCGGATGGCATCTGGACGATATGACAGCTTGCAGGATTTTGGCTTAAGCCATAAGCATGTCACATCGATTTCCGACTGCTTGTCACTGGCTGCAGCTTTAAACTACATTTCTTCAAGAAATCAGATTAATCTAAAATCCTCTACTTTACTCGAACAGACTGACATTTACTCTAAAATTCTTTGTCCGAGAACTTTTTAACGTTACTCTGCGAACAATTTACTCGTCAAAAATAACGGAAAATTCGCGATTCCACAAACTTCGTGAGAAATGATTCGGAAATTCAGCTGTGTGAAATTCCGAATCATTTCAGCTGCGTTAAGAAAATTACATGAAAAGATAGGAACAGCAAGGACAAGCGTCATAGCGTTGACACGTGCGACAAATTATTATGTAAGTGCGAGACAGTCGAATCGCGTTGCGATAATCGCGTGAACGACACATTATACGGTCGTAATTGACGGGACGTTAATTGCATTACTAATCGTGTGCTTCCGTGCACGAAGCGTCACGTAAAGATCGAACGTGTGTGCAGAAATACTACGGCAGAATTACCTCGTGCGCTAGTTACACATTTTCTGCCGTTCTCGTTTCTATACATATGTACTATCTTCTTTACCCTACAAGCTTTTCCAATGAAAAAACAAAGTACGGTTCTTTTTTACCAGTATCAAATGACGTGAAAATGGGTTCGCAGGTAAATATAAAACTTTTTTACACGATTAATCTTTCACACGAAATATCAGTTGTGTTTAACTGGTTTCTAATTTAATTTCTGTAACAAGAAAAAGTATTTTACATAGAGTATTCTAAAATTTCTATTCCGCGCGTTGGTTATGAATATTTCTTTTAAGAGTGTTGACCAACAAAAATTATAGTCCAATACTTCTGAGAAGAGATTTTAACGAAATAATTAACCGAAAAGTCCGACCGAAATGATCGTGAGACATGATCGTAAATTTTATTACTTTACTTATTTATATTATTTATATTATTACTTTAGAAAAGTTTCAATCGCTTCTTGTAATTTAATAAAATGATGTGGTTCGAAATAAATCCCGTTTGATGTTAAATCTTGTCAAAATAGTGAACAATGTCGAAGATCGTATAAATATTGATTTATCTCTTTTCCGATCTAATTTCAATACCCGTCTCTATTTACCTCTGCCATATAAATGAAATATCTCTCGCACGATACGGGAAGACATTGGTACATTTGAAATAAAATGCTTTTTCAATTTTCTATGTAAACATTTTTTTTTTTGAAGATGTTGGAGATTTCACTCGCGAAAAGACGAGCTATTGATCTCGATTATAAAGTTTTTTCTTAAAGTACAGTTCCTTCGCTGTCTTTATTCTTGCTTTTAGTTTCTTCTATTATTACTGCCGAAGTATAATAGCCGAATGATGGCTGAACACAGCTTTTTGTTGTTTGATCAATTCATTGTTCTTCCAAATTTCAGCCAAGTTTTCTTGCTGCATTCATTCTAAAAATTCTCATGGCATCTGTATACCATCTGTATATCATCAATAGTATAAAGTGTAAACTATTAGCTATTGGAATCGTTTGAAACAACGTACAAGAAATTCTTTTTAGGAGTATTTCATGAAAACACTTTTCTTTTTTTTCAACGGGTGTATAAATTGAACATGCCTTTCAATTGATTATTTAATAAGAAACATGCTTGACAACTTTAGCGTTGCATTTGTCTTTATTTTATACTTTATGAAAACGGCTTCGCGAAAGTGTTTCTTCTTTGAAGTACCGATGAAATTATAAATTTGACTTCGCATCGTCCAAATTATAAAATCACGCCGTTCTGTGTAACGTCAAGTAAAGCAGCCACAGGTAGCAGCGGTTTGTATCTTCGTTCCGAAAATATCAACCAGAGAGTCGGGGACTTTTTTCCCTTCGTCGGAAAGACCACGATTTTACCCTGAAGAAAGTCGATAGCAGCCTTTTAATAACGCGTCTATTGTTAAGGAAATCGCAGTGTCCATTACTCACCGTCGATCGCACGATACACCACGTCTTTCTCTACCTTATCCTCCTCTTCGATATGAAAGCGATCTTGAGCAGATTGACGATGGGTGCTTCGAACGCGATGGAAATGCAGAATGATATCAAGTAAGAGGCAACCAGATTCCCGAAGTAGAGAATCAGCTAAAAAACCATATGAAAATTCAGTATTTCCAAAAAGTAAATAAAAATGCTACTAATGCTCTATGTCTGATATACAAATACAAGAGATTCACGCGATGCCTTACCAACTTGGCTTACCAAAAAAAAAGTCAAATTATTAAATAAATTCGAACTGACCCGTGACTTTTAGGTTATCTATTGTATATTGATTTGAACGTAAAACGTAAAGATGGTATATTTCATGAAATTCGGATCTACGTTGCATTTTAATTAGCACTCGTTTCAACCTGAATCGCCTGACACTTTGATGACTCGCCTAAGTATGCTTTGTTGCTATTGAATTAGCAGCGAAAGCATAGACTTACCACAATGTTGTTGTGAAGGTGCAACGGGCCATCCATTTTGTTAACAGTGAGTACCATAATAACAGGGTGCACCAAATACGCGCAGTAAGTCAACCTCGACAGCGGATATATCAGTCTGAGTGACAACAGACTGTCGATCATTCTAGCGTACCCGGTGCAGCATTGAATCACGATGAAGGATACACCAATCGCCCAGGCGGTATGTCCTAAGGCGGCATACGCGGAACTCACCGGCACGGTTAAATTTCCGGGATATAAACCGTAAACTACCGAGAACATTATGGCAGTTGATAACACCCAGCCGATCATTCGTACGATCTGTAACAGTTCCGTTTATATTCGCTAGCTCGATCTCATCTTGATTTAACTGAATGGTACTAGCTGATTACCGAATAATTAGCTGAATCAAGTTCCTTTGATTTTAATCTTGAACAGATTACTCGAGAGTCATTTTTCACCTACTCTTTAAAATCAGATGGAATGTTTCTTTGAATCAAGCTACTTACCACAGGCAATTTTAGTTTGCAGTTTGTTTTGAACAAAATGTAACCAGTAATAATGCCGACGAAGTAAGGTCCAGCTCTCAGCCAAGGTTTATCGTATAATTCGTCGAAAAGCGCAAATGGCTCTTGGATCCTAAGCAGGGGGAAACAAGTGAAAATGAAAATTTGCGCGTAGCCAAGAGCAAGTGGAAGAATACTTAGTTATTGTTATAAAAGTTGTCGTAAGTAATCATAAATAATTATTATAAATACTTATTACAATTATCATAAACTAAATATTATATAATACTAATTTTAGCAATATTATATTACAATATAATTAATTAATTAATAGTAATTATATTATAATTGGTGGATAATCATATTGGCGAAATTGGAAATTCAATTGTAACGAATTGAAAGCTAAACCGAAGTTCCCTCTTTTGTAAATCAAACCTAATATTCTAATAATCCACAGGCTATGAAGTTTTTCGATCGATTGGTAATTGAAATTATGCATTCTAACAATGGATATGTCACGCGACATATGGCAGAAGGAATTTTAATGTTAAACAGCAGTAAATCGGAACGCATTTACATACGTGCAGTTAACAAGTTTTTAATATTTAACGGATGAATTACCTGGCAATATAATCGTTGGCGTAAGCGACGGAGAAGGTAGTAAACCACGAAGAGACGATCAATAAGAAAATCACAACGATGATGGTCTTCAAATATTTGATGGATAAAAGAAGCAAAAGTATCCCGAGAACGTAAAACTGCGTATCATTCGCCATATACCAGCTCCACAGCATACACTGAAAAAATTGTTAATCAAGTATTCATCGGATAATTGCATCAAGGTTCAACGAGCTCGGACTAGGTCGTACTATCGGAAAGTACTTTGTTCGCGGAAAATCTATAACAACTCGGAAAAACTCGGGAACTAATGGATCAAACGTCAAACTAGTGGATCACGTCAAGCGGGACCATTCTGATGACGTTTTATACATACATGTGGACCATTATTCTCCACGATGTGATAATACCGATTTGTAATCCTCGCGAAGTGTTTCAATGTTCGACAGAACCTTTTCATAAAATGCTACAGGTTTTTGCAATGTGAGAAAATGAGCGGTTAGTTACTCAACCAATGATTAACCTGCTCTTTTCGCTGATGAAATTAATTTCGGGACTGTTAGACACTCTCCATTGAAACTTTCTCCAAACGATAGAATTAATTATCGGAAAACGATCGAGATGCTGGCACCTTTCCTTTTCCGTAATCTCCGACTCGTACTTCCTCCTGAAAATTTCGTCGCGTTCTTTCTTTGCGATGCATCATCTTTGATTTAATTGTTTTTACGTTCAAATTAAGCGCTATGTCAATGTCAACTAACGGAGTCGTTGATTCATTAACGGTTTCGTAACGTTTTTAAACGATGAACGGACTCAACGATTTTATCGTGAAAGTGTTCTCTCTCTTTTTTTTTTTTTTTAACGAAAATTCTTACCATCTCGGTGCGAGGATATAGCGAGTTGATGTAAAGTGCGTTTCTCCACCAGAACTTCTCACACGTTAAATGATCGATGACCACTGGTGAGAACACTGTCCTTGATAACACATACTTGATAGCGATCTCGTTTATTCCCAGGACAAAAAGATACGCCGGTGTCAATCTTGGTAAAGAAAAATCAAAAGGGGTCAGTATGTATAATAATCGTTTACTGGAGGAAGTTTCTCTTTATTTTATATCTAATCAATTGTGTACCAGATTTTACTATTGTAACATTCGTGGCTACCGAATTGGATTGTTAAATTTTACAATTTTGATCGATGGCCTGCTTCGAATCCTCTGTTTTTTTATTTTAAAGTGGCAGAGTATTCTAAGTAGTTTTTCTTACCTGATAAACCTGTAGAGGATCATAATGATAAATTTGGTGAAGCATGTCTTCCAAAAAGTGCCTTTATCGTTTTTCAAGCTTCCAGAAGATCGATAGAAGAGAATCGTAACTAACAAGCCACTAAAACAGACGTATTCGTATGGATTTGATCATCGATTACTTTATAACAAGGTTATTGGTTATCTTTTACCTGATGAAGAAAAATGTGTCTACGGAGAAAGTGGCGTTGCTAATCGTTTGGAACATAAAATTTCGTTCTGTCACCGATCGCAAGGTTTTATTTTCTGCAAAAGACGCGATAGAGAAAGTCATCTCATCTTGGAATTATCAGTGAAAGTTCAACTTAACTGGCTGTATCGAAAAGATTCAATTACGGTGAAACAGGAAACCGGTATACATATTTCGTTCGAAAATTGCTTACAGAAATATGTCAAGGATAAAAATTCGCATTAACGTATTTGTTTTGTGTGTGCTGAAAATTATTACTTCTGATCGACTCTTGTGACTATTAATCTTCATTCGTTATTAATTTAATAAGACTTTCAATATTCTTAGTAGCAAAATGCAAATTAGAATAATTAATAGTAACAGGGATAATTAATTAATAAATTTTACTAACAATCTTGCAAATTACAGTGATCAGAAAATTAATCGAATTCTACTAAGAAATGATATCTCAACATTCATTTTATACGAACTTGATAATCTTCGAAGAGAGGATTACTATACCAGCTATGGAGAAAACTTGAAGATAAGTGTGCACCATAACCACCCATCCCAACGAAAACACTCGTAACCCATGTAGACAAGTCAGACTATCTCTCGCGGCAGGTTCGGTGCTAATAATTTTGCTGCCGTTCGCGATGGGATTGAAGGCTGTCAGACACATTAGCAAGAAACCTGAAGAAAAAAATCGATGAAAAAAAGGAAGCTATTAAGAGAGAAAGAATTATAATGAGACAGTCAAATATATCACCTTTCTTGCTTTCCTTTTTAGAATGATCGGGCAGTTCTTTTTGCAAGTTCTTCTCCTTCTCGATCAGCTCCTCTCCGTTCTCTTGGATCGCCTCTTGGTTTAGATTTTTGTTGGGAAAATTCTTGAGTCTCTCGTTGTTATTCGACACGCTGGACGATTCCACGTCGTTGACATTTGGTTGTATTTTGTACTCGTAGATGGTCGCGCAGAGCATCAGGATTAGTATTGCACCTCCGACGCCTCTGAAATACCAGTCGGAAGATATTTCGCGGACATGATACACAAAAAGCAAGATGAATCAAAGAAATGTATAATCAAGAAATGGTTCGAGAGAAATTAATTGCACGTTCGCTTTCGTGATGATAATTTTAATTGGGTTATATTTCCACTGGGCAGACTTACATTTATTTGAACCAGCTGAAAGTAGAGTCGAGCATTAAAACTCGAGTATTAAAAAGATACAGTAAAACATGGAACTAACGGTAGCAATCGCTAAAACCGTTTTAAATTATGAAGGGATATAGGAGACGGGACGTATTCTTTTTCCGCCTTTTCTTTTTCCACAACATTTCATTGTCTGCTTTAAAGCGCGATCAACCGATTCTGATAGCTCCGTGAACAATTGCTTTCATTATTCCGCAACAATAGTCCAGACTAAGGGATAAATAATTTTACTGGATTGGCTAAACAGTAATTGAGTTTTTTCTTTGATGTATATCTAGACATACATGTATATCTTAAAATGTGATCAATTTCATTTTAAAAATGAAACCAAATTCATCTGATATCTGATTGCACAAACTTGTTTTAGAAAAAGAAAATACACGATTTCGTTAACAATTGTTTGTTTGGTGTCGATTTCAAAATGGAAAGTTTAAAAAAGACATTTTTATCATATTCTGCTGTATTATACTTCCGAAAATGAAACAAACGCTGTGCAAGCTCAAAATATTAACAAAATATATGGTGAAGAAGCAAATTATCAGTATTGTGCTGATAAGAGTATCGAATCGTTTTTGAAACGTTTTTTTGTCGGAGAAGATGAGAATTTTTTTGAATGCGAAACCATGAAGTTGCCTGGAAGATCATAAAAGATAATCGAACAAAATTGTCAATATATTAATAAATTTTTGTTTCTCATGAAAAATTCACCTTTCATTTGCACATAAAAAATGTAATTACTTTTTGGCCAAAAAAATTACAAATTAAAATTATAAATTTAAAAAATTACAAATGGCATTGTTAAAATGATGCTTTTCTCTCTTGACTGTAAACTGCAACATATTGCGTATCGTAATCAATAAAAGCATCTATAGTCGTGTAATATATTGAATTTTAGTGATATCTGCAAATTAGTTTAAGACATGAGGTAAATTAATCCTTGAAATGAGTTTGTTCGAATGTAAACACCTGCGAGTAGAATTAATGTCTCTATAAATTAATTATGCTACGTCTATTCTCAAAAGCAGTGTTACTGTTATCAGACATCATTAGTATTATTTCATTTTAATGCATTGTTGATAGTAAACTGTGAAGTGGTTCTTACTTAAGTTATCGCATATTTTTTGGAAATATGTCAAATACGAATTCACCTATTATAATGAAATTTTTGTTTTATTAAATAAAACTGATTTATTCAAAATTGATGAAAACTAATGGTAGCACTAACAGTACTTTTCAGTGTGGCAGTTGTGAAGACATTTTCTTTTATGTAAAAATATTAAGCAAAGTTTACAAATATATTGCGTTTCTCCTTTTCTTACGTCGTTTAAAAAATCACTATCACTATCAAAATTATTGTCATTTTTACTATCATTCTCACGTCTGAAAACACATATTCTTTAGATTGATACTGTATTTTTGACTAATCTGAACTAATTTCTCGAAACTGAATTGAAGCAAACATAAAATCATATAAATTTGATGATTATTCATACAATAATGATTTAGCGCATACAAGACATGCTGTCTTCCGCCCTTGAAAAATGTAAGACGTTTGAAAAATGTAAGATACCGACTTACGTCTCCCGTTCGAAAAATAAAAAACACTGTTTCACGTTTCCCATCTTCAGCGTTTAAAAAATAAAAGACATAGATTCACGTTTCTCGTAAATGTAGCACGAATTCTGTTACTAGAACTGGTAACAATTTTAGTTATTTTTCTCTAAAACAGTAGTTAATCAGTCCACTAATAAATTAATATACGTAACGTAATAATAATTTGAGAGAGAGAGAGAGAAAACCAGATCTCTCAAAGAATTTTTATGAACCCACTGTATAATAAATATTTCTAAGCATCAATAGAAATAAAGTGCGCTCGCGCAGCAAAAGAAAACCAATTCAGTTAGGAGGTTTATGTGCAACGCATACTCTAGATCTCCAGCTTTCCATGAAATCAAACTACCTACGGAATCATTATCTGTCAGCGCTGACTTTACGTCGGTCATAAAAGATTTTATGAGTCAATCGTTACAACTGGAAATTTGATGCTTCAAAATTTATGTTTTAGCTTTTATACGGTAAAACAATGATTGCCAGAATGATTGAGCTTGATGATCGATCGGAATACTGATTAAAAGGGAATTTAAAAGGTAAGAAACGAGAGTAGAAGCAGAAAGAATTTGGTACACTTTTAATGTTCAATATCTAGAAAGCATTTTAAAATAAATGATCTTTCGCTCGAAAACAAAGTTATTTCGATCACTGAACGAGCGCGTGACGTAATTAATTTGGATAATTAAAGTTTCACTGTACTAAATCAAATTACACTGCAGCAATCAAGTTCATCGTACAATATCGACATAATAACGTTATTTCCTTATTGAACCTCTTTAATTGTCATGCAACGACGCTTCGCGGAAGGCATTCTTAAGCGTTCCTTCTTTCAAGGGAAAGTGAAGAATAAATAATGTTCGTCTTTCTCTTTCTCATTTTTTCCAGTTAATCCAGCAAACTATGGCGGGGAGGGGTGGGGGAATAAAGAAATCGATATTCGAGACTTGTGGAAGTATGCCACAACCAAGTAATCGTAAGTAAAATATTTATTTTGGTCAAAATTCGAAGAGGGAAGAATTTTCCTGGCATGCGAGAAGATGTTGGCGAGAAATTATTCAACTTCGTGCTGAACAAACAATAAAAAGTTTGCCGTTTTGCTACGCTTTCAGATGTGAATCAGGATGTGCCGGTGGTGAATAAAATGGTAGGCGAGTTTTTCCTTCGATTTCGACGCGAACTGGCATTTACTTTTACCATGGAACGACTGGAAAGCGACAGTATAAAATTTTTCAGATTTAAATCACG